GCTACCGAGCGTTCCCGACGGCGGTAGCGGACATTCCCGACTATATCCAAGATGGCGCCAGCTTGTGCCGACTAGCTATTTTACTACTTTTCTGTCGCGCTGTGGAATATTTAGGCTGATCTAAACATCGGCAACCCGGCCAATTGTGGAGTTATATTGTAGGGAAGCTCGGGACAGCAAAAAACCGGGTCAAAAACGGAGCATCGAGCAGCCAACGGGAAATGTGCAGTTCTGCCAATGGATCTTTCCACGACTATTGCTGAGGGTAATGCAATGTAAGCCCGAATCAATAGTCGCCACGGCTATTGACCTCCTAGCTTTCAGTCGGAATATTATGCTTAAGCCTTTGACTTGCGCTTGCAAAAGTTGCAGTAGAAAATTTCTGTAGACTTTTGATATGAGCTATCATTCATAATGTCGGAGAATAGTGCAAAATAGAATTCAAAATGTTTTCTACATCTTTTCAGGTGACAACAGGTTTTTATTATGCCCAAAGAGAAGAAGAAAGAGAAGAAGAAGAAACACAGAGACAAGACTGTGGTGGAGGTGCGCAAACATGTCACAACGTTCTACGAGCAGGCACCACCAGGTAAGGTTACTACATACACTGTTATTTTAAGGAATCGTGGTAGCCTGGTTTAATACTAATTCTATTTTTACTCCCAAGTCTTTTGTTGTTGTTGTTGTTGTTGTCCTCGTCTATATCTCGCTAGACGTGGTCTATTGGTGCTGGTTTGCACTTGGTTCAGTTCAGAGTCAAATTGTCTCTCTACAAGTAGGTATTTAACTCTTGATGCCTTGTGCTTGTGCAATGCTGAAAGTGTCTCTCGGCGCATACTCTCAAGGCTAGGTACATCTGCTTGTTCACTGCTTCAGGAAGGCCTTCTCTCTTTCTAGTCTAGTCTTTTATCCTCTCCAGAAATCAGAAATATAGAGGATAAAAGACTTGTGAACTGAAATAGGTTTGGTAGCCAGCCTAGAATAAATGTAGCATCTGTATCTGTATAGCCAGTATAACCGCCCTTC